TGCGCCGATATCGCCCACCGCGCAGGGCGTGCCGGCTCTCTTGGGCTCTCCCCAGCGCCTGCTCTTCCCTCCTGGCCAGGCCTGGTCTAACCCCCGAGCGTCTGTGCTTCGCCAGAGCTGCATCAGCCGTCAGCCGGTCACTCGTTCCACCGGCCGCTCCCATCAGCGCCTCGTGCGCCCGCTCTCCCCGGCTCTGCACACAGCGCCGGCTCTCTCGGTGCCCGGTCAGTTCCCGTTTCACCCCCGTGGGGTCTCTTCTCCGTGGGCCGTTCCCAGGTGTCTGGAATCTGGATCGTCCATCGCTCCGGATTCCATTCCTCAGCGCAGCCCGCGCTGCCGTCTCTGCCTGTCTGTGCCCAGCGCCTGGGCGCTTGTGACCCGTCCTGCCTCCCCTCGGCTCCCTGTCTTTGCCCTGCCTGGGAATCGGACGTGAGCCTGGTGCACATCTCTCACCCCCCCTCTGCCCTCAGCGCAGCCCGTGCTCCCTGCTCTGTCTCCGTCTCTGCCCCATGTCCTGTCCGTCGGGCTCCGGGTCCATCCCGGTTTCACCCCACAGTCCCTGTGACCATGGGACGCTCCCTCCCCCCCAGCAGGATTGGGGTCAGCTGGTGCTTACTCCCCAGTGTGGGGCCAGGCTGGAGCTCCACGGGGCAGGAGCATGTTACCCCATCCCGGGACATGCGCCCCCCCTTGGCTGCTCCCCTGTGCCTCGGGTAACTGTTGGATCTAGTTCCCTTGGGCGGCGAGTTCTCTGCAGCCGGAGCAGCCTGCCCTCCCCCCAGCCCCCTCTCCCCAACACGCGGCTCTCCTGTGTTCGCTCCAGGTGGGCCCACGATCACCCCCAGCCAGAAGGTTTATGCTGAGGGCTCCGCCCTCAATTTGCTCTGCCGAGACCACCCCAGCCCGGCTCTAGTGTACATTTGGCTTTTCAATGAGCTCCAGGTGAGCAGCTCTGGCTCCGGCTCTGAGCTCCAGGTCACCAATCTCTGCGTCAGCCACTCTGGGAATTACACTTGTGTGGCCATCACTGTCTTCCCCCTCAGCTCAAGGAACGCCACCCTGGAGATCCAAGTTCAGGGTGAGCAGCCGGGCACCGTGCCCCCACGATGGCCTCAGTCTACTGGCAAACTGAGCCCTGGGAGCTGCATCACTGTCTGTCCAGCCAGTGCCCTAGTAACACAAGATCTGTCCTGTCTCCAGCTGGGCGCCCTGTCTGCATGGGACGTCCCCTGTCCCCTGTCCCTCTGTGCACCAGCCCCGCGGGTCAGCACCGTTCCTGCGCCCTGGGCCCTCCCTGTCTCTGAAGCCGGGTCTGGGGACTTCAGCTCAGTTCTGGATTCACCCCCCGGGCTCTGTTCCCCAGGGGACGCTCCGGTCTGTCTCCAGTCTGGATCAGACACCCCCTGTCGCCTGTCACTGCCTGCACCGATCCCACTTCCCGCACTGGGCGCTCGCAGCTATTTTACTGTCTGTCCAGCCACATCCCCCTGCGCTCTGGTCCTGTCCAGCTTCCTGCCTGTCTCCTGTCACTCACTGGACCAACCTGATGGCCAGTGCCGCTCACAGCCCTCGGAGCCAGACCTGGACATTCATGAGATCGGGATACAAATCAGGCTTTAAATCCAGGTCCTGGTCAGAGCCGTGCCTTCGCTGTCAGGACCCAGGGTCTCTTCGGGTTGCGGTTTCCACATTTTCACCCCAGTCAAAAGGACCACAAACTTGCTCTTTGTTAAATGAAAGTGAAGATTCTCCTGAAAATCACAGGACTCCAGGAGCTGAGGATTTAAAAGAGGGCACCCAACACGGCAGGAATTGGCCGACGCCTCCATCTGAGACCCCATCGTTCCTTGTCTGTGGTGGAAATGGTCAAAGGCCCCTTCTCACAATCCCGTGGGATGGCGGCCCTGGTCCCAGGCGACTGGAGGGTCGGAGACACACACTGACGCTCTCTCTGTTCCCTGCACAGAAATGCTGCCCAGGCCCCCGGTGACGCCAAACCCAACCCTGAGAACGGGACCTTCACCCTCCCGTGTAACAGCTCCCCCCACACCGACACCGTGCTCTGCCTCCGGGATGGGTCTTACCTTGTACCCAGTGAGGGGCTGGGGCTGTCCTCGGAGAGCCAAATGCCCCCCGGGCCGACACCGGCGCCTACTGGTGCAAGGTCGGGAATCTCGTCAGCACCAACCTCAGCAAGCCCAGCAACGTCACCGTGCCCTGTGAGTAGCTGCAGCCCCGTCCCCCGGCCGCGCTGCCCTTGGCCCTGCCGGCATCACCCAGCCATGGAGATGCAGCCACTGTAGGGTGGGACATGGCACCTGTTTATACTTTGTCCTACAGGTGCCATGTTCGAGGGGGGGTCCCGTTTCCAGGGTTCTTAAGTATCTAGGGGGTGGAGTAAGGGTGTATGATCATTGATAGAGGAGTGTGGGAGGTTAAAAGAATAATTTTTCAATGATGGCCCTTCCCCTGCAAGGTGAGAGTGAAGGGTTGGAGAAAAGAATCAGATCAAAGGAAAAGAAGGAGGAGAGGTGGAGGGGGTTTTAGTTTGGGGTGGTGGAATGGAGGAATGAGATGGTTGTTTCGCCCCAGAATGACCAGTGGTGTTCTACCTAATCTGTTTTAGAATTTCTGTCGTCTAATAAACCTTCTGTTTTACTGGTTGAGAGTCACATCTGACTGGAAGTTGGGGTGCAACTCTCCCCCTCAACTGAGATCGTGGGGGAAGGACGGAGGGGAGAGGATGTGAATGCCAGGTAGACCCAGGAAGGTGGAAGGGTGAGTGTGTGTCTGAAGAATTGCTCACAAAAGGCACTGCCCAGAGTCTGACTGGTTCATGGGGAGCATTCCAAGCACCCCAGACACACCATCCCCCCCCGATCTCCTCCCACCATGTGCAGAAGGGCCAGACTCCGCCAGGATAGACCCTCCAGGACCCATTGGCCTGACCCTCGGGTCCCCTCTGACCCTGACGTGTCTCGCCGACTCTGTCCCAGCCCCGAGCTATCACTGGTTTCTCAACGGCACCGACACGAACGAGACCGAGAGCATCTTGACTGTAAACCCCACAAGCCTGGATCAGCTGGGCACGTACAAGTGCCAGGCTCACAACTCCGTCACCGGCCTCACGGCTAGGATGGATATCGAGGTGGAGGGTGAGTAGCTGGGCACCGTGCCCCACACACTTGTCTGTCCAGCCAGTGCCCCGCCAACTCCGGATCTGTTCTGTCTCCAGCCGGGCTCCCTGTCTGCATGGGACGTCCCCTGTCCCTCTGTGCACCAACCCTGTGGGTCAGCACCGTTTCTGCTCCCTGGGCCCTCCCTGTCTCTGAAGCCGGGTCTGGGGACTTCAGCTCAGTTCTGGATTCACCCCTCGAGTTCTGTTCCCCAGGGGACGCTCCCATCAGTCTCCAGTCTGGATCACACTCCGCTCGGTCGCCTGTCACTGCCTGCACCGATCCCACTCCCCACGCTGGGTGCTCGGCTATTTCACTGTCTGTCCAGCCACATCCCCCTGCGCTCTGGTCCTGTCCAGCTTCCTGCCGGTCTCCTGTCACTCACTGCCCCGACCTGGCAGCTGTGCAGCTCATGGACCTTGGCACTGGACCAAAACGATCATGAGATCGGCATGTAAATCACAAGATGTAAATCAAGCTCCTGGTTGGGGCCGTGTCTTCACTGTCTGGATCCGGGGTCTTGACTGGATGTGATTTCCCCCATGCCTGCCATGCCCATGGCTCTGCGTGCCCCCCATTCCCCTTTCTCCAGTTTCCCCCCGTCCCCCCCATGCCAGGTGCTCTGTGCTCCCCCATCTCCGGGTCCCACACTCGGTTGCTCATGTCAGCAGAGCGCTGGGCATTTATTGGAAGTGGCTTGTTTCCCCCATGCACTGAGATCCCGGCACCTCTGGCTGTTTGGCAGGGGTCAGGGCTTAGAGGATCCCCAGGGGAGAGCTGTATGGGCAGGGGGACCGCTGCAGGATTCGTACGGCTCGGGGAGGCGGGATGCCAGCCACATGGGCGCCTGCCGTGTGCCCGCCCTGGCTTTGCCTCCCAGCCAGACGTGCCGTGTCTTTGATGGATGCCAGGGACTTTGTCCCGTGGCTCCACTCCCTGCCCGGGGCAGCCCTGCCGGGGAAGGGGAGCTGCACCTGCCCAGCTGCTTCCTCCTTCGCTCTGGTTTGTGCTGACATTTGCCGTTTATTTCCTTGTGCGAGTGTCTCCCCGTCAGCTCTGCCCTGGGCAGCGCAGCCGCCCCCACCCAGCGCCACCAGCTCCCAGCTGGGGATGGGGTCACGGAGCCCCAGGCCCCCTGCTGCGCCCCCAGCTCCGGAGCAGCCCCTCGAGGGACCCTGCGATGTGCCAGACCCCCAGGGGTCCCCCTTGTCGTGCTGGCTGGAGCGGCTCCCCACTGCGAGTGCCAGTCTCCGGCAGAGTGTCAGAAAACAGGGCAGACCCCCCAGCTGGCGGTGTGCTCGGTGATTAGATTTCCCCCGCCCAGTAACGAGTGTGCACTCCCGCATCACTGCATCAGGGTTTCCAAGGAGCCAATCTTCCCACCCCGCAAACTGGGCTGCGTGAGGAGAGGTTATTAAACCCCAGAGTCACCCCCTTGGGTCACTCCCGACCCCAAAGGCCCGTTACTTACCCCGGTCAGTGGATACTTTTCACCTCGCCCCAAAGACAATGCTGCGGCCACTGTCTAGACTAAACTACCCAAAGATTTCCCAGCTGCAGACTGTCACGGAGTCCCTGAGCGATGCTCTGGAACTGCTCCCCATGAAGCCAGTCAGGACTCTGGGGGAGTCTCCTCTCTGGGAGCAGCCTGTCTGCAGGACACACAGCTCACCCGGCTTTCCACCTTCCTGGGTCTGACCTCGGAGCATTCAGCATCCTCTGCCCCTCCGTGCGCTTCCCACAGCGAGTCAGCTCAGGCAGGGCTCCTGGGGAAGCCAGAGGGTCCTGCCCCCCAACTTCGCAGTCAGACTCGACTCTCAGCCAGCCAGTAAAACAGAGGTTTATTAGACGACAGGAACATGGTCTAACACAGAGCTTGTAGGTGCAGAGAACAGGACCCCTCAGCTGGGTCCATTTTGGGGGGCAGTGAGCCAGACAACCACGTCTGCCCTTCACTCCATGTCCCAGCCAGCCCCAAACTGAAAACTCCCTCCAGCCCCTCCTCCTCTGGGCTTTGTCCCTTTCCCGGGCCAGGAGGTCACCAGATTCCTTTGTTCTCCAACCCTTTAGCTCTCACCTTGCAGGGGGGAAGGGCCCAGGCCATCAGTGGCCAGGAAACGGTGTGTCGACCATTCTCTGTGTCCAGACCCTTGCACACACCTGCCCTCTAGGGCTCTGCAATGATCATACACCCTTATCCCACCCCCTAGATACTTAAGAACTGCCCAGGGGAAAGTGAGGCACCCCCACACTATTCAGAGGAAACATTAAGAACAGTCCCACTTCGTCACATCTCTCCCCCCTTCGAGATCGAACTGAGCGGGGTCACTTTAGCCGGTGACCTGGGGAAGTTCGAAGCCACCAACGTTCCCATGGATGCCCCAGCATCTCTCCCATTCCTTGGGAGGAGTTACACCAGGCCCTTCCAGTTTCACGCCCTCCCTTAGGTCGGGGGTGGTCGATAGCACTCGCAGGCCGCATGTGGGAAGGTTTATGCGGCCCGTGCCCTTTGGCCACCCCAAAACCCCAGGGGGTCAAACTGGGATTGGGTCTTCTCCCCAACAAGCTGGCCAAACACAGCCACTTGTTTATGGGACTGTTTAACTTTCTTAACAGCTTTCACTTCATCTGAGACCTTCTCAAAGCTATCCACACTGGGTCTTTCAACAGGACAGTCAGTGGATCCATTCACAACAGAAAATTTCTGGCTGTTAGGAACTGAAACTTTCTTGATTAAATCACTTTCACACCCTTCAGTGGCAGTAAACTGCTTGCAAAGACTCCATGAGGATTCCTTTCCCTAGGGCTTTTCTATGCAACAATTCACCCCTCACAGAAATTCTGCTCTTACCCTCTTTACCTAGGGCTTGCTCTAGAGGAACACTTTCCTGAGCAACAACAGACTCTTTCTGGGTCTCCCTTACATCCAGAATCACCTCTGGCCCATCCGGCGGATTCCTACACAATCCCCTTTCAGGCAAACTTACAGACTTCCTAGATAAAAGGTCAGAAGCATTCTCCATTCCTTTGCCACACACAAGTTCAGGAATCTTTTCCTTCTTGCTGCGGGTTTCCACACCCTCAGTAGGTAACACAATCACATCACCTTCGTGCTCTCCTTGTGCCCTGGCTAGGATCTCACCCTGATTAGACAGATTTCAGAGTAACAGCCGTGTTAGTCTGTATTCGCAAAAAGAAAAGGAGGACTTGTGGCACCTTAGAGACAAACCAATTTATTTGAGCATGAGCTTTCGTGAGCTACAGCTCACTTCATCAAATAAATTGGTTAGTCTCTAAGGTGCCACAAGTACGCCTTTTCTTTTTGATTAGACAGAATTGCTCCTCCCTTTCCAACAACACACGAGCAACAGGCAAAATACAAACACCAGAATTGTCTGGTCTCTGGGATTTTACATAGACACTAACTGGATGCGACCTAGTTACAGGGCCATTCTCCCGAGCAGACACAAACTTAGGACCCTTCCCTTCCTGGGCTTTAGCTGAATCCAGAACCAGCTCTGAGACAACTGCACGACCCTCAACCATCACAGGCTGCAAGGCCCCTTCTGTCTGCTCCACAGACAAAGGAGAGCCAGACACACTTTCTCCTTTCCCAGACACACAGCTTGGGATCTCATTCCCTTTGTCCCAGCACACAAGGCTGGTCACAGACAACTGCTTGGAGACCGGGGTAGCTCCCTCCACAGGCAAGTCAATACCCCTGACAGACACAGGCATGTTTCCTTCACTGTCCCACTTCTCCACCCAGCTAACAGGTAAGGTCCAGGGACTCTCATCTTTCACTCTCCTCGCCTTCCCACCCTGCTGACTAGACACAGCCATCAGCTCACAAGGCTGCCTAGGCTCATCCAAACTTTCCTTACCAAGCACCTTGCCACTCCCCACAGATCCCCTGCCCTGCCTGTGTCTCCCCCCACTCAGCTGTGGTCTCCGCTCCCACTGTGCTCAGCGCTGTCCTTGCTGTCCCAGTGGGGCAGGCCACTGCTTTCCTCACTGCATCAGAGCCAGCAAGAGTCCCCACTCTGGTGTGCAAGGGGGCAGGGAGCATCTTTCTGTGCCATACAGCCCGGGGGGTCTGGTTACAGGCAGGCAGGTAGCCTGAGCCTAGCGGCTCCTCCCTGCTGCCAGCCAGGTCATCTGCATTTTCACTGACCATTTCCCTCTCCACCAATTGGTTCCCTGGATTCAAATTCAAACCCTTGGCAGTTACAGGAGCAGGGCCTGGATCCTGTCCCAAAGAGACACAGTCACCCCACAACAGGGTCTCGCAGCTGATATCCCGGAGAACCCCAACGACCAGCCAGCCCGACCCCTCCTGGGTCTGCACAGGGATCTGGGCCATAGGCAGGGCGAGGGGCTTCGTCCCTGGGACCCTCACCCAGCTCACCCAGCCCCTCAGCCTCTGAGGCTGCACCACCCAGGGCCTGACACCAGTTCTCTCTGTCCCAGGATCTCGCCACCCCAGGAATGTCTCCCCATTGACCATCACCTTCTGCTCCCACTGGAGGTCCGGGGGGCCTGGCCCCAGGAAACTCCACACAGACACATAGGGTGGGGTCAGGAGTGGGAGCCTGTCCACATCCCCACCCATCTGGCTGACGGAGTCTATGGCCTTGGGACCCAGCAAGGGAGCTAGACACCGGGGCTTTTCCGCAGGGTCCCCTTGGTTCAAATCGCCAGCCTGCTCAAAGGCAGTGAGGTGGCATCCACATCCCCCCCCCCCAAACCAGGGGCAGCAATTTAGTCTCGAGGTTCCCTGCGGAACTGGCCCCCCGGGATCTATCCCCACTCACCCCGGGGAGGTCCCCTAGGCCTCTCCGCTCCCCCACCGCCAGTTCATCCTGCTGCTGCTTCTGCAGCTCTTTCTCGGGCTCTCGCTGTCTCCCACAGTCCTCTTGCTCTCTCGGACTCAGCTCCAATCCCGTCCGTCTCCGATCCCCAGATGGGGAACCCGATCGTGAAGACCCTCGTCTGGTCGGGGACAGGAGTCTTGGGGATGCCTGGCTACCACTCCAGCTGCTCCCAGATCCTGCTATAGCCCCATTTGGGGTCAGGAATCTGCTCCCTTAGAGCGGTCATCCTCCTCCAGCTGCACGATAAACTGTGCCTTGGTGAACTTTCCAATGCGCAACCCTCTCTTTCTGCACAGGGTTACAAAGTCCTTCTTAAGGAGATGGTGACAGGCCATCACTCCGCTCTTCCCAAGTTGTTGTGGACTCACAGGCCTGTGTGCTCTCAGCTCCCCACGGTCTCCAGGGAGAACCCCTAGTGTGCCAGCCCTTCTCGAAGTCACCACCTCTTTGCCAGGGTCGAGCTGCAGACTCCTCTGCCCCTGGGACCGCTCGCTGCAATCCCCGGGGGACCCTGTTACTGCAAAAGTCCTTCTCTCTGGTCACACACTTCCAAGAGTTAACCGCCCCCTGAAACCGTCTCTCTCTGAATCTTCAGCACGCCTGGTCCCCGTCAATCCCCCTTCGTTTTACTGCTCCCCAGTCACTTACTGCAGGAAGCGCCGTCCACGGGGTGCAGTAGATCCCACCGCTGCCACCAGTTGTCACGGAGTCCCCAGGAGATGCTCTGGAACTGCTCCCTATGAAACCAGTCAGGACTCTGGGGTAGTCGCCTTTCTGTGAGCAGCCTGTCTTCAGGACACACAGCTCAACCGGCTTCCTCCTTCCTGGGTCTGACCTCGGAGCATTCAGCCTCCTCTGCCCCTCCGTGCGCTTCCCCCAGCGAGTCTGCTCAGGCAGGGCGGTCCTGCACCCCAACTTCGCAGTCAGACAGGACTCTCAGCCAGCCAGTAAAACAGAAGGTTTATTAGACGACAGGAACATGGTCTAACACAGAGCTTGTAGCTGCAGAGAGCAGGACCCCTCAGCTGGGTCCATTTTGGGGGGCAGTGAGTCAGACAACCACGTCTGCCCTTCACTCCATGTCCCCAGCCAGCCCCAAACTGAAAACCCCCTCCAGCCCCTCCTCCTCTGGGCTTTGTCCCTTTCCTGGGCCAGGAGGTCACCAGATTCTTTTGTTCTCCAACCCTTCAACTCTCACCTTGCAGGGGGGGGAAGGGCCCAGGCCATCAGTGGCCAGGAAACAGGGTGTCGGCCATTCTCTGTGTCCAGACTCCTGCACACACCTGCCCTCTAGGGCTCTGCAACGATCATACACCCTTACCCCACCCCCTAGATACTTAAGAACTGCCCAGGGGAAAGTGAGGCACCCCCACACTATTCAGAGGAAACATTAAGAACAGTCCCGCTTCGTCACACAGACGAGTTACTGCCAGGCTCTCACAGGTACCGTACATCACAGCGACTCCGGGTTTGTCGGTCCAGTGGCAGCCGGGCTGCATGCTCTGCTCGTTTTCCGTGCGTCTCTCAGAGTGGCCCAAAAGGGTCCTGGGGCCTCTGTCCTGTGGCTCCGAATTCCTCAGGCCTGAGATGCAGGATCTTTCCCTTAGCCCCGTGTTTATGGATCTTCTTCCCAGGCGAGCAACAAGCTGCCGGGCCCCTTCGCCCACGTGGGCGCGGGTGAGCAGCCAGCGCAGGCAGGCTGGGCATTTCCACTCTCCCTTGACGGCTCCTGCTTTGGAGTTAACGGGCTGCTTCACTGGCAATTCTGAGGCCTCGACCCCGCTTGTGGGGCAAAGGCCCTGTAAATGCCATGTGATAGAAACGACCTTCCTTAGGTCTCAGGCAGTTTCGCACCTCAGGTGAATTCCAACCTAAACGCCGAGACACCTGTGATTGGGGGCCAGTGACGTGCAGGGGAACGTCTCGTGAACCAACACGCTACAGATCAGTGCAGACAAGACACCGACGTCTCCCTTTAATCTACACCTGCGAGCGAATGGCTTGGACGCACCAGGACCTCTTGACAGTCCTTCATCGCTGCACCGTAGCCTGAGCTGATCTGTCTGGTTAGACGGAGTGGGGGGGGGGGGGGGGGGGGGGGGGGGGGGGGGGGGGGGGGGGGGGGGGGGGGGGGGGGAATGGGGGGGGGGGGTGGGGTGTTTTTTTTTTGGGGTTGGTGGGGGGGGGGGGGGGGGTGGGGTTTTTTTTCTCCCCCCCCCGTTTAGCTGGCTGAATCCCCTCTGAAGGGGGGGGGGGGGGGGGGGGGGGGGGTCCCCTCCCCGGCCCCCTCCCCACGCCTCCGAGACGGAGCCCCTGGGCGCCAGCCCCTGCCTCACCCCGGGAGCTCTGCCGGGCGCGGCCAGTGGAGCCGGGCTGCTGGGGGCCTGGTGCCCCCACAGGGATTGACGCCCCTCGGCCAGGGTGGTCCGTCGGGTCCGTCGGTCCCTGGCTGTGGCCTAGGCGGCCCTGAGCTCTGTGCTGAGACGGGAAGGTCAGTGCAGAGCCCAGCCTGGTCAGCCAGAGCCCGGCCAAGCTGCCGCGAGCCCACAGTCCGGCTCTGTCTCCCTTCCTTGGGCTTGGTCCACGCTACCAACTGCATCGCTTGGGGGGTGTCCCTGAGCAACGCGGTGACACCGTCCCGACCCCGGTGCAGACAGACTTCTCCCCTCAATGCACCCACCGCCTCTCGGGGAGGGGGAGTACCGCCGCAGATGGGAGAAACCCCCCACCCCCGAGCGTCTTCACGAAGTGCTGCAGACAAGCCCTGAGCCAGTTCCCAGGCGAGAAACCCCGGGCTCCTTTCAGAAACCACAGCGTTTCCCCACCTCACACCTTCCAGTCCCTTGCTCTCGACCTGGGGTCTCTGCTCAGCTTCCCTGCTAAGAGCCAGGCAACCCATCTCCCCCTGGGTTGCTCGGGGTCAGTGTCTTGGGGACTAGGCTTTCTTGTCTTCTTGGACTTTCCATTCTTATGGGCTGGCCTTGGACAGGCTTTTAATGACCCAGTCAGTCCACTCAGGCAACACACACAAGCCTGTGTCTGCCCTGAGAGCAAACATAATCCTTTCCCCCCACTGGATAGCAATCCGAAGTGTGGGGGAAACTGAGGCACACAGAGGATTCAAAAAACTATTACAAACAATTCTCCTCCTGCTCCGCCCCATCTCGGTGGCATCTCTGCAGAATTCCACAGGAGGATGCAGCTCCCGCTAAGCTCGAAGACCAGTGGCCGGGGAGGGGCCCCACCTGCCCGGCAGCTCCAGACATTGGAACCAGCCCCAAACAATCACGAGATTGGCTTAAAAATTACAAGATTTAAATCCAGCTCCTGGTCGGGGCCATGCCTTTGCTGTTGGGACCCAGGGTCTTGTCGGGTTTTGATTTCCATTTTTTCTCCCCATTCATGTGGCCCAGAAACTTCCTTTTTATTAAATGGAAGCCGAGATTCTACCAAAAATCACAGGACTCCAGCAGCTGAGGATTTAACCTAGGGCAGGAGAACCCCCTTGTTCTCTGTCTCGGATGGTCTGTGGTGGCAAAAGCCAAAAGAAGCTTCCAAACTATTCCGTGGGACAATGGCACCAGACCCTTCCCACAGTCCCGCAGGACAGTGGCCCCGATCCTGGGCAGATGGAGGGGCAGGGACACAGAAATGCTGCCCAGGCCCTCGGTGACGCCGAACCAAACCCAGGTGCTGGTGAACGCGACCTTCACCCTCACGTGTATCAGCGCCGACACCCTGCTCTGGCTCTGGGACGGGGCGTCCCTCGCGCCCAGTGAGCGGCTGGTGCTGTCCTCCGGGAACTGGACCCTCACGGTGCCGGGTGTCACCCGGGGTGACGCCGGCACCTACCAGTGCGAGGTCGGGAACCCCGTCAGCACCGAACGCGGCGAGCCCAGCACCGAGACGGGGGCCTGTGAGTAACTATAGCCCCAGCCGCCCTGCCCCCGGCCCTGCCGGCATCGCCCAGCCACGGAGATGCAGCTGTGTCTAGGGTGGGGAAGGCATCTGTTTATAGCTTGCTCTGCTGGTGCCCTCCCTCCCCCATCCACTTCCTCTCTGTGTAGATGGGCCAGACTCCACCAGGATAGACCCCCCAGGACCCATCGGCCTGCCCCTCGGGTCCTCTCTGACCCTGACGTGTGTCTCCGACTCTGTCTGACGCTGTCGCTGGGTTCTCAATGGCACCAACACTAACGAGAACAGGAGCAACTTGACCTTTAACCCCACGAGCTTAGATCACCAGGGCACGTACGAGAGCCAGGCTCACAACCCCGTCACCGGCCTCACGGCGAGTGCAGAGATCGTGGTGGAGGGAGAGTAGCCGGGCACCGCGCCCCACACTCACTTGTCTGTCCAGCCGGCGCCCTGGCTACTCCGGATCTGTCCTGGCCCCAGCCGGGCTCCCTGTCTGCATGGGACGTCCCCTGTTGCCTGTCACTCCGTGCACCAACCCGGGGGGGGGGGAAGAAGCTCGGAGGGGGACAGAGGGATGGGGGGTGCCCTGAGGGAAGAATGGGAGGGGATGTTCCCGGCCCCCCCGCAGGGGGTACAGGCTGGAGGGGTTTCCTTGGCCCTGCCGCTGGAGTCCGGACGCCCCCTCCCCATTCGGACTCTCGCGGGTCGTGGGGAGATCTGGGGCTGTGAGGCACTTGCTGAGCTATGGGGCTGGGTGGGAATATGGGGCAGCACTAGGCTGGGGGCTGCCCCCCTCGCTCCACTGAGTCTCCCCGATCTCCCCGGGGTCAGTGAGATCGGCTCTGGCTGACTGCTCATGGTGTGCCCCCTCGGCCTGGGTCTGGGATGGGCAGCTCTGTCTGGGTCAGAGGGGACGGCAAGGACCTGGCACAGGGCTGTGCGCACGGGGCATCCGGTGGCACCAAGAGACCTGTGGGGTCGCGACCTTGAGTCCGGCCTGAACTGTCACGGGATCGGCTTGAAAATCCTGCTGTCGGGCTGGAGCCTGGGAGCCGGAGCGTCGCTCTCCCTTCGAACCACAGCCGAGAGTCTCCCAAAAATCACAGGACTCCGGGAGCCAGAGCATCAGGGAGGCACCAATAACTGAGACTCGATGCCGGGGAGAGGGACCCTCTGCCAGATCCCAGAAGGTGACTGCCCGTCTCCGCAGCTCTGAGGTGCAACGGGCAAAGGACACCGCAGGACAGTGGTGCTGGGCCCTTCCCACAACCTCACAGGGTGGCAACACCAGCCCCCTAGCCCCAGTCCCGCAGGACAGCAGCCCCGATCCCGCATGGAGGGGCAGGGACACACGGTAACGCTCTCTCTGTTCCCTGCACAGAAATGCTGCCCAAGCCCATGGTGACGCCAAACCAAACCCAGGTGCTGGAGAACGGGAACTTCACCCTCACGTGTAACAGCTCCCCCCACACCGACACCCTGCTCTGGCTCCGGGACGGGGCGTCCCTCGCGCCCAGTGACCGGCTGGGGCTGTCCCCTGACAACCGGACCCTCACGGTGTCGGGTGTCACCCGGGGCGATGCCGGCGCCTACCAGTGCGAGGTCAGGAACCCCATCAGCACCGAACGCAGCGAGCCCAGCAACGTGACGGTGGCCTGTGAGTAACTGCAGCCCCGTCCCCCGGCCGCGCTGCCCCCGGCCCTGCCGGCATCGCCCAGCCACGGAGATGCAGCCATCTCTGGGGTGGGGCACCGGGGCTGTTAATATGGGGATCTCTCACTGGCGCTGTCCTTTCCCTTGATCCTCTCCCTCTCTGTGTAGACGGGCCAGACTCTGCCAGGATAGACCCGCCAGGACCCATCGACCTGACCCTCGGGTCCCTTCTCACCCTGTCGTGCGTCGCCGACTCCGTCCCAGCCCCGAGCTATTGCTGGGTCCTCAATGGCACCGACACTAACGAGAACGGGACCAGCTTGACCTTAAACCCCACGACCTTAGATCACCAGGGCACGTACGAGTGCCAGGCTCACAACCCAATTACCAACCGCACTGCCCGGGCGTCTGTCGCCGTGCGGTTTGTGGGTGAGTCCCTGGGATCGAACCGTGCGCTGCCCCCTTGTCCAGCACAAGAAAACACCCTGCTGGGGGCAAGGTGCAGGTGGGGCTGGGGGTGAGGCGTGGGTGGGGCTGGGCCGTGCATGGAGCTGAGTTGGGGCGTGAGGGGTGGCCAGGCCGTGGGCTGACCGTGGCGCTCAGGGGACCCTTGGGTGATGTTGTCTCTGGATATGGTCCGTCCTCTGTAGGGCCAGGTGCTGGGGGCCCAGACTGGGGCTAGGCTGGGGGGCTCCATTGTGGCTGGGGGGCAGGGGATCTGTCAATGCATCGTCCAGCCCCATGGTCTCCCGAACCCCCCCGACACCAGCAAGTGATAGAGCTGAGACCCCCTGGGGAGCCCCAAACCCCCCCTGCTCCCAAGGGGGCTGGGCAGCACCAGGAGACCTCCCAGTTCCTGACCTTTGGACCCCCCCCTCAGCCCACCACATCCTGGGTCCTGTCTTGGGCCCAAACCCGTCAGGCTCAGGGGACCCCTGGCTGAGCTGCCCCCAATGTCTCTGGGGTGGGGGGTGGGGAACGGGGGTTCCAGCCCCCAGGGCCTCACGTTGGGCACCAAGAGAGAGCAGCATTGGGAAGCCTGGGGCATGGGGGGGGTCATGCCTGGACTCCCTGATACACCCCCTTTTTCTCCCCCCGAATCTCTTCCAGACTCAAATTCACCCCCAGGCCTGTCACCCGGAGCCATCGCTGGGATCGTCATCGGGTCGCTGGCCGGGGCGGCGTTGATCGGGGGGCTGCTCTACTTCCTGCTCTGCAAAACTGGAGGGTAACAGCTCGGGAGGCTGGGGGCTGCACTGAGCGCTGGTGAGGCGGGGGGGTTGGGAGCTGCCCCCGGGCGCTGGAGGGGGTCACTCTCTCTGCTCCCCAGCCCCAGGTCTCTGCACCCTGCCCCTCGGGGTCTCTCCTTGTTGCTCTCTCTGTGGTGAAGGGTCCTTCCACGTCTCTGCCCGCCAGGATGGGATCTCGCCCCACACGCTTCTTGGAAACAGTGTCAGGTCTCCTAGGGAACAATCCCTGCCCAGGCTGGCACCCAGCGTCCTGAGCCACCCCGGAGCTACCCATCTGCCACGGGGTCCCCGGGCGATGCTCTGGGACGGCTCCCTACGAAGCCAGGCAGGACTCTGGGGAAGTCTCCTCTCTGGGAGCAGCCTGTCTGCAGGACACACAGCTCACCCGGCTCCACCTTCCTGGGTCTGACCTCGGAGCATTCAGCCTCCTCTGCCCCTCCGTGCGCTTCCCACAGCCAGTCTGCCCAGGCGGGGTCCTGGGGGGGCCAGAGGGTCCTGCCCCCCAACTCCGCAGTCAGATGGGACTCTCAGCCAGACAGTAACACAGAAGGTTTATTAGACGACAGGAACATGGTCTAACACAGAGCTTGTAGGTGCAGAGAACGGGACCCCTCAACTGGGTCCATTTTGGGGGGCAGTGAGCCAGACAACCCCGTCTGCACTTCACTCCTCGTCCCCAGCCAGCCCCAAACTGAAACTCCCTCCAGCCCCACCTCCTCTGGGCTTTCCCCTTTCCCGGGCCAGGAGGTCACCTGATTCCTTTGTTCTCCGACCCTTCAGCTCTCACCTTGCAGGGGGAAGGGCCCAGGCCATCAGTGGCCAGGAAACAGGATGTCGCCATTCTCTGTGTCCAGACCCCTGCACACACCTGCCCTCCAGGGCTCTGCAATGATCATACACCCTTACCCCACCCCCTAAATACTTAAGAACTGCCTAGGGGAAACTGAGGCATCCCCACACTATTCAGACAAAACATTAAGAACAGTCCTGCTTCGTCACAGAGGGATAGATAGATGGGCATAGGGTTCAGTAGGTGTGTGTGGGGGTGGATGGGCCGTGGGGTGGTGAGAGGAGGGGGGACAGGTCTGCAGTTTTGGGGAAGCCGACGAGTTGCTGCCCCCATCCCTGGCGTGGGGGACGGCGCAATTCCCCCCCCCCTCCGGCGTCATGTGGAATCTGCTGTTTCCCCAGGGGGCCCAAGCAGCGCCCGTCCGTCGGAGGCCAGGCCGCGCCCGCCCACAGTAAGTAGCAGCCCCGCCCCTCGCAGCTGCATGCCACGTGCCGTGTGGGCGGGGCCTGCGAGCTGTGTGGGCAGGGCCTGCGAGCTGTGTGGGCGGGGCCTGCACCGCTGCCAGTGCTGCTGTCGCTCCCCCATGCAACAGTGTGATGGACGGCCAAGCCCCGGGGCATGATGGGAAACTCCCCGGCCAGACAGGAAGTGACATCGCAGCGGCCCCAGTTTCCAAGAGCCCGTCTGGGATTCTCTTCCCCTGGGCTGGGTCCCGGGTCCCCCGTGGCTGCTCTGGGCTGTGGGTGTCACGGGCTCCGGGTGCCCCCCACCCCCGGTGCTGGGAACTTCGGGAGCAACTGCGGAGATGGGGCGAGGGGGCACTTGGGGCCTGGGGTTCCCTGCTTCTACGATCCCCCCACCCGCTTTCCTCTCTCAGCCCCCCCTTGCTCCCCTCCCTTCCAGGGCTGGTGCAAGGATGTTTCGCGCCCTAGGCGAAACTTCCACCGTGCGCTGGCTCCCCCCCCGTTCCCCCCCTTGGCCTGCGGAGCCGTGGGGCAGCTCCCCACCCCCCCTTCCGTCCCTCCCCTTGGCCTGCGGAGCCGTGGGGCAGCTCCCCACACCCCCTTCTGTCCCCCCCTTGGCCTGGGGAGCCGTGGGGCAGCTCCGCACCCCAGCTCACCCCTGCTCCACTTCCTCCCCGGAGTGCGCTTTTGGCCGCCTCCAGCCACCTCGTTTGCCTAACAGTTGCACCGGCCCTGCTCCCTCCCCAACCCAACCCGCGCGGCTGGTGCTGGCAACCTGGGGCAGCACCGCGAAGACACAGGCTGGGGGTCATGTGAGCATGGGATTCCCTGCTTATTCCCTCCCCATCCCCCCCCCGCTTCTCCACTCCCCTCACGCCCGCTTCCCCTTCCCTCCTCCTCCCCCTCCCGGGTTCACCACCCTGGTGCAAGGAGCCCCTCACCCTGAGGACCCCACGCCGGCTGCAGCCGCTAACCCAGCTGGTGCTGCTTTGCCTGCTGGCACTAACTCTGCATGGGCCCTGCTGCCCCTGGGGGGTGGGTCACTGCTTGGCTGGGGGGAAGGGGGGGCCTGCACCCCGGGACTGTCGTGTTTCTAACCCCGTCTGTCTCCTGTCTCTGTCCTTCAGACCAGGGTGTCGGTGACAACAAACCTACCTTGGTAAGGAGCCTTCGTGTCCGGCCGCAGGACTCCTGGGTTCTGTCCTGCTGGTGGGAAGGGAAGGGAGCAGGGGGGACTGGGAGCAGGACTCCTGGGTTCGTTCCTGGCCCTGGCAGGGGAGTGGGGTCTGGAGGGTTAGAGCACGGAGTGGTGGGGGCTGGGAGCCAGGACTCCTGGGTTCTATCTCTGGACCTGGCAGGGGAGTGGGGTCTGGTGGTTAGAGCAGGGGGGGCTGGGAGCCAGGACTCCTGGGTTCTCTCCCTGGTGCAGTCCTTGATCTGGCTTTCCTGTTTTCCAGGGTGATGAGAACATTCAATATTCTACTCTAGCCTTCACCGCAGGAGACCAGAAGCCGCCACCCGGGTCCCAGCCCCGCCCGGAGAGCGGCACCGTCTACTCGGAAATCAGAAAGAAATGACTGTGATTTGCTTGGGACTCTCGGGAATTACTGCACCCCCCACACCCCTCCCGCCCCCACCCAGGGGAGCATCTGCCGTACCCCCCCCATGCAGGACTTGCTGGGGGGCAGCTCCAGTCCCACCTACACCCTCCCCCCCATGCAGGGTCACTGCCCACTGGGCACAATGAGTGTGGTCCCCTCCCCGGGTGAGGGCCATCAGGACTCCTGAGGGGCTCTGGGAGGGGAGGGGGGTCGAGTGGTTACAGCAGGGGGCTGGGAGCCAGGACTCCTGGGTTCACCTCTGCTTTGCACAGGGGTCGGGGCTGGAGGGGGTGTGCTATGCAGAGGGGGATGGTCGGTGTGTGGGGCTGAAGGATAACAGGTGACACCCCCACCCCAGGCCGCGCTGTCGGTGCTGGCTGGCACAGGGTGTGGATCTGGGCAGCCCCGGGCAGGGGTGAGGCAGTGAGTCACCCCATAGCATCTCAGCCCACAGCTCTGTGCCCCCCAGCTCCACCCCCAGCTCTCCGCATGCCCCTCCCCAAGCCTGCTGCTGTCGGACAGCCTCCGAGGTGCAGGGCGGTTGTGTTGCTCGGGGGGGGGGGTGTGATGATTGTGCGGGGTGGGGGGTGTCGCTCACAGCGGGTGGGACTGGCTGATTGGGGGGTTGTACCGTGATTGACGCTGTTTGTAATAAAACAAAATGTCAAAACTGCCCCCACGACAGCCCGGTGTGAGGGGGAGGGCAGAGACGGGCCGACGCTGGGGGTGGGGACACGGGGACATGGCACAAGCAGACACGGACACGGGGACACGCAGGTCCTGGGTGTGGGGACACACAGACGGACACAGGGATGGGAGGACACTGGGGCGACAGACAGACACACGGACAGCGACACGGGACGGGCAGGACCCCGGGCACAGGACGGGCTGGTCGCCAGGTCCCCGCCCCAGGCACGGGGCTCGTGTCCGGTTGGACTCAGGGGCTCGGCCAGTGGGAGCCGGGGCTGGGGGTAACGGGGCGCCGTTCCCTGGCTGCAGGGATGAGCTCAGTGCGCTCACGCCCCAGCAAGCGCCAAAGGGGGCAGAACCGGGGGACGGTTCCAGGCGTGACCCCAAGGCCCCCCCCAGCGCTGCCCGCGGCTGAGCTCGGTGCAGGCCGGCTGGGGGGGTCTCCGTGGACGCCCCTTTGGCTGCTGCAGGGCCGTGACCTGCTGAGGAAGGGCCCTGGGGAGCGTCTCTCACCAGCAGCAGCTAGGCCAGGACACCCCGGGGACTTGGACGCGCCGGCTGGTCGTCACAGGCTTCCTGGAGCCGCTCCCTGGAGGGGGCGTCTCTGCCGGGGCCTGGGCTCAGCTGGGCCGGCTGGGGCCCCCTGGGGAGCGCGGGGGGCCGGGTGCTGCAGGGCCTAGCTCAGAGCAGTGGGGGCCTGGCACAGTGCAGGGGCCCTGCCTGAGGCGCAGGGTGACAGCCAGGGCACAGAGCACCCTGGGGAGCCGAGACAGACACACTCACGGCCGGCCCCGGGACAGGGCTGGGGGGAGGCACTTCCCTGCCCTGCAGCCACATTTGCGTTGCAAATGCGAAGAGGGGGCGTCCCGCTGCAGCTGCAGCTGCACAGAGCCTTGGCCCTGGGCTGAGGGTGGGGGGCTAAGGGAGAGCAGAAGGCCAGGGGGGTGGGGAGCCAGGACTCCTGGGTTCTATCCTGGCTCTGGGAGGGGAGTGGGGTCCAGTGGGTTAGAGCCGGGGCTGGGAGCCCGGACTCCTGGGTCCCTCGGCTGGCAGTGGGCACTGGCTGGTGGATGTTTTGCTGGCCAGGTGGCCGCGCGCGGATGGCTGGTGTCTCTGGTTCTCCTTTACAGAGATTGACTGGAAGGATCCCAGCCGAACAAGCCGGACACGGGGGGGAAGACACGGGGGGGACACGAGCAGAAGCAGAAATTGTGAGAAGACCAGATACCTGGAAATCCGGCCACCGCCAGACCCTGCACATCACCCCCACCCCACCCATCTCCCCCTCCCAGAGCTGGGTCAGAACCCAGGAGTCCTGGCCCCCGCCCACCCCGGGGCACCCTCAGCGGCTTCAGACAGGAAGAAAAACTTTTGTGCCACGTGTTTGTTTAGCTTCAATAGCAGGAAATTGGGAGAAAAAAACCCCAATGAAACCGGGCGGCTGCGCCCAAGGCAGCCCCCCTGCCCCACAAGTGTGCAAGCCCCCCCCTCATGCCCCCGCATCCCACCCAGACCCCTCCCCCCGCACCTCCCCCCACATCCCACCCAGACCCCTCCCCCTCATGCCCCCGCATCCCACCCAGACCCCTCCCCCCGCACCTCCCCCCACATCCCACCCAGACCCCTCCCCCCATGCCCCCGCATCCCACCCAGACCCCTCCCCCCGCACCTCCCCCCACATCGCACCCAGACCCCTTCCCCCTCATGCCCCCGCATCCCACCCAGACCCCTCCCCCCGCACCTCCCTCCACGTCCCACCCAGACCCCTTCCCCCTCGCACCTCCCCCCACGTCCCACCCGGACCCCTCCTCCCCCTCGCACCTCCCCCCACGTCCCACCCGGACCCCTCCTCCCCCTGTTCCTTCACACCCCCACCCCGCCCGTGAGCTCTGATTCCCCTGCCAGGCCCCATTCCAGCCAGGCAAGTCCGGGCTGCAGCGTTTGCTGCCGTCTGCCCCCCCGGCCCCCTTTGCCGCCCTCCCCCAGGGCGGAGACACCGGCCTGGCTGCGAGCCTGGGGAGACCAACCCCTGATAGGGGGGTGCGGGGGGCACCAGGGAGCCGGGCCCTGAGGAAGCTGCCTTGGGCTGGGCATGAACCCCCCCGACACCCCTCAGCGACTAACACCCCCAGGCAGAGGGAGCGCAGGACAGGGGGCGCTGGGCGGGTCACGGTTCACTCGCTTAGCAGGGGTGTGAACTGCAGCCGGCCCAGAGCCAGACAGACAGACGGACACACCTCCGCCCCCCCCAGACAGACGCCCCCGTCCCCCCCCGACAGACAGACGGACACGCCCCCGCCCCCACCAGACGGTCGGACAGACACACCCCTCCCCCCAGACGGTCGGACGGATGGACACGTCCCTGCCCCACGGACGGAAGGACACCTCCCTGCCCCCACAGACAGATGGACGGACAGACACACCCCTGCCCCCCCAAGACGGTCGGACAGACACACCCCTCCCCCCAGACAGACGGACGGACGGACACGCCCCTGCCCCCCAGACGGTCGGACGGATGGACACGCCCCTGCCCCCCCGGGTGGAAGGACACCTCCCTGCCCCCCCAGACAGATGGACAGACAGACACACCCCTGCCCCCCCAAGACGGTCGGACAGACACACCCCTCCCCCCAGACAGACGGACAGACGGACACGCCCCTGCCCCCCAGACGGTCGGACGGATGGACACGCCCCTGCCCCCCCGGGTGGAAGGACACCTCCCTGCCCCCCCAGACAGATGGACAGACAGACACACCCCCGCCCCCCCAGACAGACGGACAGACAGACATGCCTCTGACCCCCAGATGGTCGGACGGATGGACACGGCCCCACCCCCACCAGACGGACAGATGGACACGTCCCTGCCCCCCCAAGACAGTCGGATGGACAGACACATCCCTGCCCCGCCAAGACGGTCGGATGGACGGACACATCCCTGCCCCCCAGACAGATGGACGGACGTGCAGACCTGGCCATTGGGGGAGGGGAGGTTTCCATCTGTGAAACTTGCAGCGAGGAGCCAAACCCCAACTTCCCTCCCCCACCCCCCCCCCGCCGGCTCTTCCGAGACTGGGTGCGGCTCGGTTCCCACACGAGTCTGCCCCCCCCCCCCGTAGTGACTCCTGTCCACACACACAACCCCCGCCTGGGGGAACAGGCTACCGGGTAATGTGACAGGCTGGGGGGGCAGGGCCCGGATACCTGGGTCCCCAAGATGAAGAGCCACCTCGTGACCCCTCCCCCAATCCTGGGAATAGGCCAGAGGGAATGTGACTGGGGGAGGGGTGCCTGCCCATCCACGCCCCGGACGCCTGGGTCCCCTGGCAGTGCCACCCTGGAACAGACGTCACCGTGCACCACCCCCCAACCCATGGTACTTTGACCGGTTAATGGCCTTGGGCTGTTTCCTTATTGCGGGGTAATTACCCCCCTGTGCCCCCGCCCTGCCTGGGGCTGGCACAGATGGATGGGGGGCAGGTTTGGATACTCTGCCCCCGCAGGGGGGACACCCAGCACAGGGGGCCAAGGGATCCCCTGCCCCCCCCAGCCCAAGGAGGGGAGGGGAGTGGATGGGGGTGGGGTGGGGGAGTGGCTGGCCCGCGTGATAACAGAGGGGAAGGGGAAGTGGGGGGCTGGATGGAGGAGGGAAGTGGGGTGGACGGGAGGACGATGCGGGGAGGGGAGTGGCTGGCCCCATGTGATAACAGTAGGGAAGGGGAAGTGGGGGGCTGGATGGAGGAGGGGAGGGGAGTGGATGGGGGAGGGGAGTGGCTGGCCCGTGTGATAATAGAGGGGAAGGGGAAGTGGGGGGCTGGATGGAGGAGGGGAGGGGGCTGGTGGGAACCTGGGGGGTGGGTTGGGAAAGCCTAGGACGTGCTGTGGGGCCTGCAGGGGATGGCAAAGGGGGGCCAGGCAGAGGGGTATCGTTAGTGGTGGGAGAATCTGGCCCGCCCTCACTTCCCAGTCCCCCTGGTGCCCTCCAGTCCTGCCCCCTCCCCCATCTCTAGGGCAGAGATTCCCCTGCCCCCCCACCAACCCTTCACCGTCCCTGGAGCTGTTCTACGGGGCTGTTTACAGGGCAGGTCGCACCCTGGGGAGGGACATAAAGGAGAGGTCACGGTGGGGGGCAGTTTCCCATGGACTCACCCTATAAATTGCCCCGATTTATGGCACATCCCCCCCACCAATGGGCCCGTCCCGGCTGGAACGACACCTCCCTGAACCGCATCCGCCCGGTGCTGGCCTGCGCCATGAACGACGTCACCGGCCCTTTGGGCATGCAGGGGGTGCTGAGAGGGCACTGCTGGGGGGAGCTCACAGCCCTGGGATCCCTGGCTGGGGGCACTGCTGGGGGGGAGCTCACAGCCCCGGGCTTTGAGTATGCACATACACACACCGCAGCTGACAGGGTAGAAACAACCCTCAGCCCGGTTATTGCCAAACCAGCCAGTTGCAGCATTTCCTGCCGCGTTCCCTGGAGCTGTCAGAGACGGGAGGCCGCACTGGATGGGCCCGTTGGTCAGAGTCAGCAGGGAAGGGGCCTCCCCAAACCAGCCAGTCCCCTGCCCTGGGGCCGGATCAGGGCCAGCGCCCCCAGGAGGGGAAAGGCCCCACGTCCCATTCCCTGCCCCCCTGTCCCAAGCCAGCCAGGCCCCCGCCCTGGGGCGGGATCAGGGCCAGCGCCCCCAGGAGGGGAAAGTCCCCATGTCCCATTCCCTGCCCCCCTGTCCCAAGCCAGCCAGGCCCCTGCCCGGGGGCGGGATCAGGGCCAGCGCCCCCAGGAAGGGAAGGGCCCCACATCCCATTCCCTGCCCCCTGTCCCAAGCCAGCCAGGCCCCTGCCCGGGGGCGGGATCAGGGCCAGCGCCCCCAGGAAGGGAAGGGCCCTGCGTCCCTTT